ATCCACTTCCAAAGCTTAGGATTCTGGGAGGTGTACTGTGGGGGGAAAAAATGCTGTAAATAATAAATAATAATAATATTGGAATAGTCGAAGGCTATCATGGCCGGAATCCATGGGTTGTTGTAGGTTTTTCCGGGCTATATGGCCATGTTCTGGACGTTTCGCCTGCATCTATGGCAAGCATTCTCAGAGGTAATGACCTCATTACCTCTGAGGATGCTTGCCATAGATGCAGGCGAAACGTCAGGAGAAAAATTGCCTCCAGGAACATGGCCATATAGCCCGGAAAAACCTACAACAACCCAATATTGGAATACTTTTCGGGAAGGTTTACGAACCTGATCCTGCAAAAACACAGGGGAAATGACATTCTGGAGAAAGTTGTTTTCTAATCCAATTTTGTTGGCTAACTCAAGTTTGATGTCATTACTGGATTAGAAGAGAGTGAGCAAAGGAAAGCTTAATCCAGACAAGACAGAGGTGCTCCTTGTTGGCAGAAAGGCAGATCAGGGGATTTAGTGTGTGCTGAATAGAGTTTCATGCTGCCTTAAATATCAAACTTGCAGCTCATATTTGCTCCTGGGTGCCAGTATACAGTGCATACGTAAAGTACTTCCATGTCTATATTATGATACTATTAATACTAATAGTCCTTACTAGCAGTGGTGCATTTGTTCCACCTTTGAACCCACTCATCCAATCCGCTTTGGATTCCCATTCCCTGATCCCTTTCTGATAGTGTCTTTCACTCATCTTTCTTTCATCCATACAAACAAATGAAAGTCTGAGGATACCACACTAAGGCTATAAGGCTGATGTGGCATCACTTACCTTCCCATTTGTTCTTGAACCTGTGAGGTTGCCAAAGAAGTGTGGAGTTATCAACTTATATTGGTGTAACTAGGTTTCATTCAGCTGTTTCTCTGGTCTTTTCTTATTGGTGGCTTTTTGAAATTTCTGGAGTTATGCAGCACTTTAAGTTGTGCTGAGACTCGGCATACCCGTATGAAGCAGAGGGCGAGAATCACTATTTGGAGTGATGGCACTGCAGCTTCCCTAGGTCAAAGGCATTCAAAAGTGTTGGGTTTCATCTCTAGACTGCACAAGTCACTTGTGTCATCAAGCTTCCAGACCTCAATGAGTAGATAGACAAGAGCTAGGATTAGGCTGTGGGATTCCTTCCCCACATTCCTAAGCATGTTTAGCAAAAAGGGCTTTGTCTTTCCTCCTTCTCCTCCTTGCCATTGTCTCCTTCCCCTTTGAAGATATAGCAATGGAATTGTTACACACCAAGGCTGTGATAAGCACCTTTGAACCCACAAACACACCAATGTTCTTTAGTAAGCAAAGCAGTTTATTGAAGATGAATATAGCAAGTGCCAAAAAAGGTAAAAGGCAATCAAAAAGGAAATAGAACAGTGTTTCTCAACCTGGGGGTCAGGACCCCTGGGGGGCCGTGAGGAGGTGTCGGAGGGGTTGCCAAAGACCATCAGAAAACACAGTACTTTCTGTTGGTCATGGGGGTTTTGTGGGGGAAGTTTTGCCCAATTCTATCGTTGGTGGGGTTCAGAGTGCTCTTTGATTGTAGGTGAACTATAAATCCCAGCAACTACCCAAATCTCAAGGTCTGTTTTCCCCAAACTCCACCTCTGTTCACATTTGGGCATATTGAGTATCCATGCCAAGTTTGGTCCAGATTCTCCATTGTTTGAGTCCACAGTGCTCTCTAGATGTAGGTGAACTGCAACTCCCATGATCAAGGTCAATGCCCACCTAACCCTTCCAGTATTTTCTGTTGGTCATGGGAGTTCTGTGTGCTAAGTTTGGTTCAATTCTATCGTTGGTGGATTCAGAATGCTCTTTGATTGTAGGTGAACTATAAATCCCAGCAACTACAACTCCCAAATGACAAAATCAACTCCCCCCCCCCCAACAGTATTCAAATTTGGGTGAATCGGGTATTTGTGCCAAATTTGGTCCAGTGAATGAAAATACATCCCGCATGTCAGATATTTACATTATGATTCATAAAGTAGCAAAATTAAAGTTATGAAGTAGCAACAAAAATAATGTTATGGTTGGGGGTTACCACAACATGAGGAATGTTTTAAGGGGTCGCAGCAATAGGAAGGTTGAGAACCACTGAAATAGAAGAATGTCCAAAAAACAATCTATAAAGCAATGTAAGGTTATCCAGCAAAGTCCACATCAGGAGAACAGTATAGTTCCCAAGTCCAGTTAACTGAATCCACAGGAAATAGTCCTTTAGTCCAAAAGGTTGTAAGAACAAAGTCCCTTGAAGAAGAGCAAACTTGAACAAAACCAAATGCAACAGCTTGAAACCAGGATACAACACTTACAAAAATCTCAGCATGAACATGAATCTGGAGCAAGATATTACATGAATCTCAGCATGAACAAAAAGGCATGAGAGTAGCAGTGTTGTAGAAGAGGCCGTCAATGTCCTAGCTCGCCACACATAAGTTTCCACTGGTTATGAAGTTTACTTCTAGTACTCTGCTATATTTATGGTGGAATCACCCCAACTGAAAGTTGGTTTTGAGTCTAACAGCTCCAATTCCCCAACAAAAAGTCAGCACTCAGCACAGAAGAAGAAGGCAAATGTCTTTGGGGGTGATCTTGCTTGATGTCCTCAAGCATGAGACGACAATGAACAGCAACCATTATATTACATCACTCCAGAAACTTTGAGATGCCCTAAATACTCCCTTCCTAAAAATCTATCTTCGGATTCTGTGGGAGGGAGTCATAGTATCTAATGTGGAATCATAGCTGTATTGCTGTGTCATGTGAAAGGGGCCTATATCTTCCATACAAGCTTGCTCATATTTTTAGATCGTCAGGAGCTTTCTCATGGTCCCTAAAGCTTCAGGAATGTTTGGTGAGGACACCAAAAAAAGAGTTCTTCAAAGCAAAGACTGATTTCGGATTGGGGAATTTCCTCCTCCAGAAGGCTGGATTGACTTTCGGTGTTCTTTCCCCAATCAACCGGCCAAGATCATCTTGTTGAGACAGGTCCTGAGAGCACCAAGTAGGGTGTTTAGAAGGCACTGTCTTTTTCCTTTATTCATGTTTTTAAACTTGCTGCTGTTAATATGTTGTTGATTTTAATATGATTACTTCGGTAAGTGTTCTACTTGTGTGGCAAACTTCCAGAAAACTTACATCAGCAATTTCTTTAATTTCCATCTCTTCCTTAAAGTGTGGGATACACATGGTGTATTTGCACAGAGCATTTGCTTATGTTTCAATACTTACAAACTTGGTGCCGGAATTGTTTTTGGTTTATACTTCAGTAGTGATCCCCTGGTGTTGATGCTGGAAATCAAGTTGTTGTAAGTACCCTTGCAATGATGGGTAACTTGAGAAGACAAGTGTTGTAGAGCAGGAATTTAGGGGTCTTTGCCAGGAGGCAGAGATCAATCTGACTCTTTAAAGAGTTTGTTACCCTGGCGAGACAGAGAGAAGCACCCAATCCCTGATTTTTCCCAATAAAAGGTCTCACCAAGTGGAAGGAAGTGCCACCGAGGTTTATTAGCGATTCAGCTGAAAAGGATGCAGAGCGGCAATCATTCGCCAAGCAGAGCATGTGGTTACAGAAGTAAAGGCCATTTTCATAGAAAATACAGAATTGTGAGTTTCAAAATTCCCGCTCCCCCCTCCCACCCAGCTCAAAGGGGATTGGCTGACGCGCAAACAGCTGGGAGGAGGCTTGGCCATCCCCCATGCATCAGGGCCAATCACAGGGCTTTCGCGGTGCACCAGAGCCTATCAGGAGGCTCCTGCTGCCTCAACGCTCCAGCGAATCAGAAGGGAGGGAGGCGGGATGAAGGGAGACAATGCATTCTGGAGTGGATTATGACAAAATTGTCCCTGAGGCTTAGCGAGATCCGGGTGGGGGGTCTGCCAGCCAAGCCATTCTATTGTGTTCGTGAGTGAAGGCAATAAACATATGTTAAAGAAATCCGGGTTTTCCTGTCGCCATCAGATATGACACAAAGGGGAAGACTTGGGTGGAAGTTCTTTGTGGAGAAGTTTGAAAGAAAAACGGCTTGGAGGAAAAGAGGACTTTTCTAAGGTCATATTCCCCCCATTGTTATATGATTAAAAAGTCTGCCAAACAGAAATCCTAATGGTGGCCCAACTCTGAAGACAAAAGGATTTCCTTTACTATTGTCCATGCAAAGAATGTCCAAAGATAAGGGTCTTTTCATGATCGCTGATTGCTTTTCCAGAGGCAGGGCAGCTTCCTTGTAGATTTCCCCCAAGGAGAGGGGAAGGGGGCAAAAGGGTCAGGGCAAGGTCAAATACATGAAGGGAAATATAGAAATACAGGAGAAAATATGAAAATATAGAAATCATAATACAGAGAGTAAACCCAACTACCTTCCCCCAGTGTCCATAGTTCATATTATTCATAGGAAGGTCCATAAAGGGAAATATCCATGAGGGGGAAAGAGAGTCCCTTGTTTGTGAGATGGGGGACCATCAGGAGCCCAGGTGTGCCTCAGATGGGAAAATTCAAATACTTTTGTGGCATGATTTTCAGTAATAAATTGGTTACTTTCTGCTGTAAACATATGAAAATAGAGCATAAAGCCTTGATTAAATGATACACACCAAACTGACCAAGGCTTAACCCTTATTATCCAGCCTGGTGTCCTTGCCCTTAGCAAAACTATAAGTTACTATCTCTTATGGGGGGGGGTCATGTTCGACTTCACAAGGTTGACAAAAGTTGGCTAAAGTATCCTTGGCAAATAGGGTTGTCCTAAACTCCCTTATTGAATGTAAAGAAACAAACAGTATTAGGCTCTAGTTTTCTGCACAAGAAGGATGGAAGAAAAGAACAATGTATCCCTTTTGAAGAGGCAGCCCCAAGTAATCTACTGCTGAAGTCAGTAGTACAATCTGTTACAGCTGTCAGAAAGAGTAAAAGAATGTACTTTAGGACTAACTTGTATCTTGTTATTTGGCAGATATGAATATTTGGTGCAGATGACTGGAGCAACAACACAAACAGTGCTGGGCTGTTTTAAGGAAGTCCTGAGAGAAGCAGTGTTGTAGAAGAGGCCGTCAATGCCAAACTTAACTTTGCAGGTAAGAACAAAGATGCCCATGTCATGGGAATCCTGGTTGTAAACTATGTCAGTTTGTGAGAGACAGGTTTTGAACACTTCTTTTCAAGCAGCACTGTTGGCACTGGACCTCAGGCTGTACAGATAGCATAGCTGAGATTCTGTGGTTAGAGTATGTGTGTGCATGTGTTGCACTTGAAGTTTCTTGGTAGCTTAAGGGTGTTGCGCTCAAGCGGAATTCAGTTTAGTTCAATGCAAAAGACACAATCACTTTGCACAAAGGCAAGTGAAAACTTTACTCGTGTCAGCAGAGTCAAAACATAAACTTGCAATGTTGCATACAAAATAAACACTGCAACAAATTTACATAGTCCTTGTAAGTAATACATGGCTTCATCTTTCCAAGTGGCCAGAGGACATTTAATCAACTACCAGTCTCACATATTTTGTATTTTCTCTGTTTGTTTGCTTTCTTCTGTTAGAAATGTAATACAATTGACTGGCTGCCTTGACACGAGAAATATATAAATAAATAAATAATCTTTCTTCAAATTTATTTTATTTATCGTGTCAGGAGCAAACCAAATCGTTGTATTGCATTTTTTAACGAACAAACAAAACACGAAGTTTACAAGCTTGGTAGTTGATTAAATGTCCTTTGCCCAGTAGCTGGCCACTTGGAGTGCCTCTGGTGTTACTATAAGAAGGTCCTCGATTGTGCATGTGGCAGGGCTCAGGTTGCATTGCAGCAGGTGGTCTGTAGTTTGCCCTTCTCCACACTCGCATGTCGTGGATTCCACTTTGTAGCCCCATTTCTTAAGGTTGGCCCTGCCTCTCGTGGTGCCAGAGTGCAGTCTGTTCAGCGCCTTCCAAGTCGCCCAGCTTTCTGTGTGCCCAGGGAGGAGTCTCTCATTTGGTATTGATTGAGGTTCTGGGTTTTAGCCTGCCACTTTTGGATTCTTGCTTGCTGGGGTATTCCAGCAAGTGTCTCTGTAGATCTTTAAAACTATTTCTTGATTTAAGTCGTTGACGTGCTGGCTGATACCCAAAAGGGAGTGGCCTTGGTCCTTTCACTATTGGCTGCTATTTCCCAGCAGATGTCAGGTGGTGCAAAACCGGCTAAACAGTGTAATTTCTCCAGTGGAATAGGGCGCAGACACCCCGTGATAATGCGGCATGTCTCATTAAGAGTCATATCTACTGTTTTTGTGTGATGAGATGTGTTCCACACTGAGGATGCATACTCAAATGAGAGAGAAAGACACAAAACTGTGAGCAAAAGCTGTTGATCCAGAGTATAAGCTACTTAGAGCAAAAGCTAAAGCTGAGCTGTACACATCATCATCATCATCATCATCATTAATTACTTATTAACCGCCCTCCATCCGAGATGCTCCAGGCGAATTACATTGCAGAAATTATACAGGATAAAACACATACATACAAATATTAAAATTAACATGGGACAAATGCTCTAGTAAAAAGCCAGGTCTTAAGTGCTAGGAGAAAATGCCCTAAGTCGCGCTTGGCTCTCAAATAGGGAGGCAAGGAATTCCATAAGGCAGGGGCAGAAATAGAGAAGGCCCTGCATCTGGTGCTTTCCAAGTGCACTTCCCTAGGACCTGGTATATAGAGCATACAGTTATACCCCACCGGGTATGGTCCAAACTTACTAGCTGACCTAGATTAGCAGCTGCACATAATAATTAACAGTAAAAGGTTTTCTTTAACACACACACACACACACACACTTGATTCTGTTACAATTTACTGTAACAAAGGGCTCTGTTGTGTAATGTGGTTTGTATAATGTGTTTTATAGTGTGGTTTGTATAAATTATCATATCTCGAAGGCTCACTTGTGCTCCAAACAGGATGTATGTGTGTGCTCATCAATGATAGAGCAATATGCACCATGTCACACCCACACTGCTCAGATCATAAATTGTCAGTGTATGTCTCTGCGACTGGACAACAGAGTTTCAGGCAACTCTGCTCCAGTTCACCTTTGCAAAAAGAAAGGAAATTTAGGCAAGTTGCCAACAAACCTGAGCAACTTGCCTCTGAGCAACTGCTGTGGGGTGGAGCTGGTGGCACT